TAACGCAAAAGAAGAACTTTTTGCTGGAGACCAACAGATGCCTAATGTGGATCGAGCAATCACAGAGTAGCGCCATGCTTTAGCGGCAACTGCCGAAACTGCAACAAAAAACATCACACAGCAATATGCTCAGAAGAAAGGCCGAGTGAAATGACACAAAGCAAATCATCTATTAGTCAACAGAAGAAGCCGGAGGGAGTCAGAACACCAAAAAACCAGCCGACGACAGCGGCTAAATCTTACAGTTCTTCAAATCAGCATGTGGTAACGAAGACAATTGGACAAGAAAGTCAATACACCACACAAGAAGCAACGGAAAATTCCGAAGAAGCAAATCCGTCAGTACTACTGCTCAGAGGAAAGGTACATGTTGGTAACTTGTTGGACTCGTCTTTGAACGATGGAGCTACGAAAAATACTATGGTGCCCACAGGCAGACTCATCGTGAATGGACTGAAACGGCAAGCCGGATCAATCTCGCCATTGTCGTCGCCTATCTCGGACAATGTGCAACCTCCACCTAAAAGACCAGTTGTAATTGCTAATGCAACGTTATCAAAGGACAAGGTTTCGCCGTCAAGTCCAGCCTCTAACTTGTACATGCAACCGTCAGCCCACTCAGCTACCTCAGCACATGTAAAGCCTGCTGTCCCGCACTCAGAAGGGCTTTATCTCATTTGCAGCAATTCCGACATCATAGATGATACTTCGTTCACTACCACGGCAGAATCTGATGTTTTCGCAACAAAAACAAACCTGAGCCTGAACGTGTGTGCTTTGAAGAATGAAGGCGAAACGTTGCATAAAGCCTGGGAGGAGTTTCTAAAACTCAAAGAAGACGTCAAACAACAGCAGCAAGAGATTCTAAACTCGATACAAAAGATGGGCCGGTACATCGAAACCTTTAAAGCATGGAGCATGAAGAGTGGAATCGACGTCATCCAACAAGAGATTCAAGAGGAAAATCCGGAGGCGCAAAAGGGAACTCCTCCCACAAAACAACAATTATCATCTAACAAAAGAAGGAAAATTCGGAGGTGCGAAGGCGAGACAAGAAGCAAAGCAGTAGTGAAGAAAAGCGAAGGAAGGTTCCAGCTTTTCTTACACTATCACAGAAGAGAGAAGAAAGCAAAAGAAGTTGTACAATTTGTAAGAGGAAACACACAAAAAACGAAAATTCCTCTCGCGATGAAAAAGGAAATCACAAGCACAGAGCACAACGCCAGTTCAGATGAAGAAAATTGAACAGAATCCAAACCAACTCTCCTGCACTGGAAAACGCACTGACATGAGCATAAACTGCCAAGGATCTCGGAAACAGCGTTCAGATGATTGCTTCAAGTTACGTGAAGGCACAAGAAGAACTGACGCTAAGCACACAAAAAAACCTCATACCCGATGTGTCGCAGTCCGTCACAGTGAGGACCGCACAGAACGAGCTTCGTGTTTCTACTGCAGAAACACCAGAGGCGACGCTGCCGT